ACAGCTGGAACACCTAATTTTAGCTCTGTTTCCCCTAAGACCAAACACATAAAAGTCCCTGCTTAACCTACTCTACTACTTCCTTGCTCCCATCTTCCTACCACGATGAGCTGCCTCAAACCAGAGACCAGATGCTACAGAGCCTAAGGTAGAGAACCCTAGGAAAAGTACCCTGGGAATTCAGGCATGCTATCAGCATGACTGGTGTTACCAAGACACAGGCCCACTTCTCTGCTATACTCACCCAGGTTTGCCCACAAGTACACAGGCAGACCCAGGTCCCCACCTTCCTGGGCCCCCACAAGGAGAACAAGCACATTTGGACTCCGGCAGGGTAAGCTCCACTTTCTTGTCCTGGGGCATAACTCCAAAACATTTCTTGAGCACCTACTATTTGCTAGGGCCCCCGAAAGGAGTCAACTCCATTACATACCTGCATCTGAAAAGTTAGCAATGCATTGTAAGGTTGGGTAAATCCATGAATGACTGAACCATAAAGCAAATTAAAATAACTGCAACAACCTTGCAGGGCTGGAAAATAAATCTTAGATTGGAAGCTGGAAAGCCTGGATGAGAGTTCAAGTTTCCTCATTTGTGAAATGGAATGAATAGCATTGATTCAAATGATAGAATGAATGGATTCTAATGGGAAAATGCTGTGCTAACTGGAAAGCACTGATATGGTCAAAGGGCTGGTAGAAGGTAGAACACATCATACAAAGTCTTAGGACTTGGGAAGAGACCAAAATTGCTTCCACTTGGTCCACAGCTTAACACCATACCCAGGTCAGTCTTTGTCCTTCACTCTCTCAGATCAAGATGACCTTCACCAGTCACCAATAACCAATTTCAAGAACTCACAGTAACTGACTACCATTTACTAAGAGCTTACTAAACCACATGTGTTATCTTATTCAATCCTCAACCAATCCTGGTCATTTTCAATTTGTTCCCAGAAGAGGAACCTGATTCAGAAGGATGAAGTCAGTTGCCCAATGTTGTCCTACTCACAAGTGGAAAGATAAGCATGAGAAGTGGGAACCAATTGTGCCTCCCTTCCTACTGCAGGTATCTAAAGCGTTGGCCCAGCCATACCATGTGGACCCAGAGATGGGGCATGTACTCTCCCTGTCCTAGAATGATTCATAGGCAAATTACTGTGGAGACCCATTTCTTCATTGTGCCATCAATTTATTGTTTTCTTCTAAAACAAACAGAAATGAGCCAATCTCTCCAGCTACCAGTCCTTTGGGGCTCCACAACTTTCTGGAAGTCTACTTCAGCACCCTGAAACCCTCCAGTCTCCAGCATGCCCGGTCTGACCCCCAGTGGCACTAAGGTCAGTTCTTTAGGGCACTCTCCCAGCAAGGCAGTGGCTGCCCTACAGGCAGGATCCACTGTCCGGCAAAGGAAAAATGCCAGTTGTGGAATAAAAAGCACAGGTTTGTGACCTCAGCAGGCATGGGGCATGTGACAATTCTATATGGAAGAGTCACCTGGGCTCAGAGTTGGCCCTGTTCCAATACTGGTTATGAGTCTTCTGTTCATCGTTTCTATATTTATGTTGCACAGTTGGGCCAACTACACTCATTCATAGATTGTTACATCCATCTGTGATCTAAAGAAGGAGGAAAACATCCAACATATCTTGGACCAAAAGTATAGTGATTTTCTGTTTTTGTGGAAGAAATTTTCTGCAAGCCTACTATTTTAGAGGGGACTTTACAAGAATTGATTTTGAGAAATCAATTTTTTTTCTATGGCTAATAAACTTTTAAATTCATTTAAAAAATAAATAAAACAAGTAGAAATGAACTTAATAGGAAATATCAGAACTACTACCAGATGAAGCTTGTTGGGTAAGTATATGAAGCGGGTTGCCATGTAAAATAAATTTTTAACCAAGGGGATCTTCCTTGGCTCTGTCTCATTCAATGTTTTTAACAAACACATTGAAGGCTTATTTATCCAATCTGTAATCTCAAAGCTGGGAGGCATAGCTAACATGTCAGATCCAAAACAAGATCAACAAGAATGTGAATTCACTTGAAGATGAGTACAAACTATAACAAGATGAAATCTTAACAGTTGGGCATACATAAATCCCACGTTTATGTTCCAAAAATTGACTACATTAAGTATATAACATGAAAGTGGTTTGACAGGAGATCATATGAAAAAGACCTGAGGCAGTTAGTTAGAGTGAGCGCCACATGTACGAATGGTATAGCGAGAAAAATAAGAGTGTCCCTAAAAGGAGAGGTCACCCTCAACACAATTTAGCACTGCTCTCACCACATCCTGCTGTGCCCAGCTGTGGCTGCCACATCATGAGGCCACATGAAGTCACAATTCTGAGCTGTCTGAATTTCATGAGCACATGACCATGAAATAAGATACCACAATGTCTTTATGAGCTTCCTATTTCCAAAGGACTATCAGGTGAAAGATGCCAGCCAGTTCTGTGTGGCCTGTCATTGACGTATAGGACTTAAAGGGAGGGTTTCAGCTTAATTTTATGAAACTCTACTGGAAAGAAAATTGAATACCTAGGGGCCCAAAGGGATGGGAGGATGTTTTCCTTTAGAGACATTTGGAAGCTCAAAGGTGTATCTGACAGGGGACTCCTGTCTAGGAGATTTATGTCTTGGAAGAGGGAGGAGGCAAAGTAGGCAACAGTCTGGTTTCAAACAGGTTGATCATCAGAATCGCTAGTGTTGCTTATTTAAAAATTACTTTCCAGCCTCACAGCAGATCTACTGAAACAAAATCTCAAGAATGTGGCTGGAGAATCTGTATTGTTTTGAAGTGCACAAGGCAGACTTGTAGATTAAGAGACCAGATACAACAATATTAACCTTGTATGAAGCCTAGATGTAAAAAAAAAGTATAAAAGTCATTTTGCTCAGGCCAGTAGATCTGATGAGTGTTAGTAACTGTCCCTCAAAATAAATTGTTTCCACCTTTTTCCTCTTTTAAAAAAAAGACATTTTGGAACACCATGGCAATTTTTAATAGAAATTATTTATTAGGTATCATTGAATTCTTTGTAATTTTCTTAGATATATTTTAGAAATATCAGAGAATGTCCTTATTCTTTGGTAATACAAGCTGAAGTTTTAAAAAGTCAAGTGTCATATCTACAACTTACTTTTTTTAAACAATGAATTACTTTTAAATGGTTCAAGAAAAAAAAGAACAAATGAGACAAAAATATTGACAGAGGGGCAATCATTGTACTCTTCTTTTGACTTTTGTGGAAGCTTGAGATTTCTCAAAATAAAGTTAGGGAAAAAAATTAAGCTACTAGGTTACTGTGATATGAGCCCCAGACAAGATAAACTCTGCTATTCCATCTAGGCTAAGAGCCTGGAGCCTGATGCAAGGCTGAATGCATTCTTTGTGGCTTACAGAGCTGGATGTTCTATGCTGGGGCAGTGTCACAGCTGAGACTGAGTCTTGCAGTGTGACATTAGACCACAGTGACCCCTAGAGGTACCCTGTGCAGTCAGGGTACACCAGTCCGTCAGCCTCAAAGGCATGTTCAGTAGAAAAGAGAAACCCGGCTCGG